TTTTTTTAAATTTTATTTATTTATTTGACAGAGATAGAAAGAGCACAAGCAGGGGGAGCGGCAGGCAGAGGGAGAGGGAAAAGCAGGCTTCCCGCGGAGCAGGGAGCCCGATGCGGGGCTCGATCCCAAGACCCTGGGATCATGACCTGAGCCGAAGGCAGACACTTAACCAACTGAGCCACCCAGGTGCCCCTCACTCTCCCTCCTGAAGGCAGCCAGAACTGAGCCCAGTGTTCCAGGTATGAGCTGACATGGACAGAGGACAGACCAGAGGGTGCCTGTCCCCTCCTTCATTCTAGATGTGATGCCTTCTAAATGTGGCTCCCAGTCCTGCTCACCCTTTTGGCCTCACTCAGTTAACACATTCTGGTTTTCTAATCAAGGGGGGAAATTATCCAAGCCCTTGGAAACATTTGTTCACACTGTGATCAATGGTTCTTGTAAAACTTATCCTGCTTCCTTTAGGACAGTGGTTTCCAAACTTGAGCGAGCATCAGAATCGCCTGGAGGGCTGAGTAAACACAGGTGGCTGGACCCCACTGCACAGTGTCTGATCCAGTAGGTCTGGGTGGGGCCTGGGAATTTGCATTTCTAACAAGGTCCCAGGTGATACCGATGTTACCCTCTGGGGCCCTATTTGAGAACCGTTGCTTTAGGGACATGCTTCCTGGCATGACCTCGTGTCCAGTCCGTACCAGTTCTTGAGGTAGGAGGAGGGAAGTCAGCAGCTGTTGCTTCCAAGCCTACCCCAGATTATGTAGTCATGGGGCTCTGACCCTCTGGCTCGTCTCTGTGACATCAAGTGACTTGGGCTCCCGGGAGCTCCTCCAGCAGCCTGGGCTCAGATCCACTGCTCCGGAAGGAGGGAGAACTCTCCCCTCTGTGACCTCAGCCCTGTGAGCTGGCCCCGGGGCCCCAGCCTTGAAGGACTCAGCCCCTCCTGACTCTTCTTCTAGCACACTGGGGACCCCGCCCATGACCCTGCTCACTCCACCCACCGCTGCCCCCCAGCAGTCCTGGCTGGTCCTTCCTGGTAATGGGGCAGCCTTCCCCTCTGTCCCATCCATGCATATTAGGTCCCCTGGTGGGACCCCAGCTGTACTGGAGTGAGAGAGAGTGTGTGTGTGTTTTATTGTCTTGGAAATTAAGAGTTACTCTTTGCCCAGAAGAAGGTATTTCTGCTTTTGTAACGGAGGTGAATGAAAACCTGGGATTCAGTGTGCAGAAATGCAGTTTATAGCAAGACACTGGCCCCATTAAACAAGAGAACCTGCAATTCCAGAAGGAAAAATAGGCGTTTACAAATTCATGTCGTCCAGCTTTGGCCAGTGGACTGAATGGCCCTCCCGATCTCACACATGAGGTTGTGGGTCCTTTTCCTTAGGAGTTACATCAATTCCATTGTTTCTTTTCCATGCTTTGGTTTCTTAAAAATACCATTTATTACTGAATTCCTCCATTTGCTTTCTCTAAAGAGGTCCATTAGAATAAATACTTGAGCTGAGCTCAGACTTCTTGGTGCTAAAATTATGGTGGCTGATCACACCACCATCTGTTCTGACCTGTTCTGGCTCATCAGCCTTCTAGAACTGTCCACAGCTGGCAGGACCCAGAAGGGCCAGCCTGGGAGCATGCAGAGAGCACAAGACTAGGAGTGACACTTCAGTTTCCTCATTTGTGAAATTAGGGGCAGAGTGAGATGACTTCCAGGGGTGTTTTAGTTTTGTTTGTTTTGAGTTCTGACTGCCTAAAATGATAGTTTATTTGCCCTAATTATATACAGCTTTCGTGCACATTCTTATTCACAGAGAGACACCCCAAGCCACTGACCACCTGGACGGCTTGCCGTAGGCCTGGATATGATCATTCCAGCTTTTAAGCCGCGTAAAGAACTTGAGAGTCTACAAAGCCATTCCCCATCCTCAGTGTTTTTGCTGGGCCCCGAAACAACCCTGTAAATTACACGCTGTATTGTGCCCACTTCAGAGGTGCAAAGACGGAGGCTCAAGAGAGCTCTAACCGTTCCCGCGGGTGTGTGTGGTGAGCAAGCCGAGGGCTGCCGAACAAGCCGGGTGCTGCGTGCATCACCTGCATTGCATCTAGCAGGGGTGATTTTGCACAATTTCTGTATCTAATAATCGTTGTTGCTCCACAACACCCCCCGACACACAAAACGAACAACGGGGCTCCACCTGCATCCAAAAAGGATTTGTGGCAGCAGAAATAAAGTGTAACGCCAGAGTCAACTTTTTTTGTCCAGTCAACTAGTTCCATCTCCCATCAAAATAGAGGTAAAAACTAAGGATGGACAGGGTTCACCCTGACTGTGGCAGCTTCGTTTTTTGTACAAAACATTCAGCACAGAGTATTTCAGGCATTCAGGAAACACAGAATAGCAAACACCCATGGACTCATTACCCAGAATTAATAGATGTTCACATTTTATTCTACATATGTCATATTTGTCTTAAAGAAATAAAATACAGGGCGCCTATGTGGCTCAGTCGGTTAAGCGACTGCCTTCGGCTTAGGTCATGATCCCGGAGTCCTGGGATCAAGTCCCACATCGGGCTCCCGGCTCAGCGGGGAGCCTCCTTCTCCCGCTGACCCTCTCCCCTCTCATGCTGTTTCTCTCTCTCTCTCTCAAATAAATAAATAAATAAATAAAATCTTAAAAAAAAAAAAGAAATAAAATACAGCAGTTCCCACTGAAACCCCTTGGTTCCCTTCCACTGTGGTGGCTTCCCGGGGACCGTCCTGTAACGTTTAGGGCCAAATTATTCCAAACACGTTGACATGTACATTGGAAGACTCTACTGATTGTTGAAACAAGAAGTACTTTTTTTACTGTGATAAAATATACATAACATGAAATTTCCATTGTAACCATTTTTTAAGATTGACTTATTTTTGGGGGGGGAGGGGCAGAGGGAGAGAGAGAGAGAGAGAATCTTAAGCAGACTCCACACTAAGCGTGCCCTACACAGGGCTCAGTCCCATGACCCTGAGATCATGACCTGAGCCAAAACCAAGAGTCAGACGCTTAACCAACTGTGCCACCCGGGCACCCCCATCCATTTTAACCATTTTTAAGTGTCCAGTTCGGTGGCATTAAGTACATTCATACTACCATGCAACCGGCACCACCGTCCGTCCCCGGGTCTTTTTCATCCTTCCAGACAGTCACCGTACTGCTCAAACACTAACTCCCCGTTCCCTCCTCCCCAACGCCACATTACCATTGGTCTACTTTCTGTCTCTATGAATTCACTCCTCTGGGTACCTCATGCAGGTAGAATCCTATAATACTTATCCTTTTGTGTCTGGCTCCTTTCACTTAATATAATGTTTTCATTTCATCCACATTTTAGCATGGGTCAGACCCTCATTCCGTCGTAAGGCTGAGTAATGTTCCATTGCATGTATATACCGCATGTGTTCATTCCTTCATCCATCACTAGACTTTTGGGTTACTTCCATCTTTTGGCTTTTGTGAATAATGCTGCTGTGAACATGGGTATATGAATACATCTTGAAGACCCTGTTTTCAGTTCTTTTGAGAATATGCACAGAAGCAGAGTGCTGGCTCATAGAGTGCTCTATGTTTCATGCCTTACTGTTTCCCACAGTGGTGGCGCCATTTTGTGCACAGGGGGTTCCATTCCCCTACCTCTTCACTGGTGCTTGCTGTCTCCTGTTTTTGTTTTTGTTTTTTTTTATTTGAGAGAGAGAATGAGAGACAGAGAGCACGAGAGGGAAGAGGGTCAGAGGGAGAAGCAGACCCCCCCGTTGAGCAGGGAGCCCGATGCGGGACTCGATCCAGGGACTCCAGGATCATGACCTGAGCCGAAGGCAGTCGCCCAACCAACTGAGCCACCCAGGCACCCCTTGCTGTCTCCTGTTTTTTGATAATAGCCATCCTAATGCGTGTGAACAAGAAGTGCTTGTAAGGATCATCTTCTCCTAAGGGAGAAGAAACTGAAGCCCTGAGACAAGAGAGTCATACAGCGAGGCCAGGGTCACAAGCAAGTCAGTGACAGAGCAGAACCTAGAACCTGGGGCCCCTACCCCCTACCTAAGTTGTTTTTACTGAGGTGGGTGGTCAGCCATGGCCACAGGCTAGATACAAACTTCACATTTCTTTGGTTTGGTCCTTACTTTGGGGTGTGTGTGTGTGTGTATGTGTGTGTGTTTAAATAATTCAAAATCGTATCAATATTTTAAGATATGAAAGGATCTTATATTTTTTAAAAACCTAGATTTCAGAGTTCTGGCCCCCAAATCAGAATGTCTAGTGACCCCAGACTAGCATTCTGACACTGCATGATTGGGGCAGCTGCCACCTTAGATGGGACATGGGGTCACCCGTTTGCTGCTGTCCCCACCACTCCCTGACATCCTTCTACATGGACTGCTTCACACAATGGCCGGACCCGGCAAACCCTGGAGTTTGCAGACCTCTGCTTTCCAAACACATAGATGTTAGCCGTCTGTGTGTCGGTGGACAAGTAGTCACGTGTAACAGCCCAGGCTGGTTCCATAGCCCCTTACTCTCTCCTCTATTCTGCACCGTCTGTCTGAGTGTCTTACTCTTTCTTCATCCTAGAAGTGAAATAGTATTGCAAACAAATAATACAAAATATAAATAGAGGTGTATGTGAACAGTCTGACTTGGAGACTGTGTGAAAGGGCAAAGAAACACCAGCATGAAAGGCCAGAGATTCGGACGCCCATCTGGACTCTCCCAGGAAACCCCTGTGCACTCCCAGTCTGCTGTCCTTGTGCCCCTGTGTCCCCTGCCCGGTGGGATGGGTGCATGTCCCAGGACTCACAGGGCCGTCTTGGTTTATAATGAAGGGGGAAAATCACTCCTTTTGCATTGTTGATGGAGAAAACCAGCCCGGTTGAGCTGCTTCCCCAGGCTGACCCCTCTGAACAGACCCTTCCTGTCCTTCCCGTGGCCGCCAGTGTACCCACCCACTGCTTTCTCTTTGTAACAGGTGAGGAACGACCTGACTGGGGTTCTGTATGGTGAGGACATCGAGATTTCGGACACCGAGAGCTTCTCCAACGACCCCTGCACCAGTGTTAAAAAGCTTAAGGTAGGTGCGGCTGGCCATGGCCGGGAGGACAGACAGACGGCCGCCACGCCCTGTGCTTCCCCACATCCCTGACTCTGAAATAGCCTCGAGTTCGGCTCTTTCATCTCATCCTGGCATTTCGCGCGTGGGGAGAGGACCCCAGGCACTGGCTTCCCTTGGCTTCGCCCTGGCTTCGCCCTGGCTTCGCCCTGGCTTGGCCAGCCGTGGCCGGAGGCCTGGTTGCCGAGTGCGTGCACAGCCACAAGGAGCTTCCATGGTGATGTTGTATCTCTCAACCGAGCCTAAGGGGCCAGCAGGGTGAGAGTTACTACCTTCTTTGTTGCCAAGAGGCTGAGAGGAAGGGATTATCTTGCCCAAAGTCACAGCAAGGAGGTACAGTTGTTGGGACTGAAAGCCCTGGCTCCCTCCCAGCCCCTCTCGGGACTCTCAGTCCAGGAACGGAAAGGGCCAACTAGAAGCTTGCCCAGCTGCAAGTGGTCTCTGTCTGCCATTTGTCTGCTCAGCCCACACACTCTCTCAACCAGCTGGTTTGTGCCAGACCCCCTCCTGGGCCCACAGACGCCATCAGGCCTGCCCTTGTCCTCACGTTGCTCACAGCTGGTGAGGAAGCCAGTTACCTCTCTGGGGATCAGGAACAGAGGGGCCTGGGAACAAAGGGAGGAAGTGACTCATCCCGCCCAGGGAGAGGGTTCAGACAAGGCTACTGAGGAGCATTTGTACCTGGCTAGGGAGGATGAGCAGGTGCCCAGCAGGGAAGGGGGGCTGAAGGTAAGAAGGCAGAGCAGCCATGCTCTCCACGCACCAGGGACCAGCAGGAATTCGACTGGCACCGGAGTGTCAGGGCTGAAAAAAGAAAAAAGAACCTGGAGCCAGGTTCCACAAGCTTTGAATGCCGAGCTAAGGAGTTTGGTCTTTTATCCAGGGGGCAGTGGGAGGTGCTAGGGGTTTATAAGCAAGTGCAGACGTAGTTTATAAGCAGTGTTACCATCCTCTTTCCCTCTCTTCCATTCCCTCGTGCTCACATTTAGGGCTTTTGGCATGGAGACCCCAGATGCCAGTTGCTGGTATGCCCCCTTCCATCTTGGGCGGGTTCCGGGTTACACCCGTCAGAGCAGGTGGCCATTTAGAATTCTTGTCTTCCAAAGCCCTCAGTTCACAGATGGGAAGACTGAGGCCCAGAGCCAGGGAACAAGGGAAGCAGAGCACCAGCGGTTTGTCCCCTAATCTCAGGAGCAGCCACCATGCCTGTGCATGACATTTCAGCCCTAAGAGCCCGTGCAGAGAAGGAAACCGTAGCTAGGGAGGGCCTGCTGGCAGCCCAGGTAGCTGGGGCCGGATGTGCCCACGCTGTTCCCCCCAAGGCTGTGTGTCCTCAAGGTCCAGTCAGGCCGTGGGGTCCAGAGGACCCCGAGCCGTGGAGTGCTTACTCTGCAGGGAACAGCTGGGGTGGGGCCGGGGGTGGGGAGAGGAGCCCGATGCTGTGCCGACATCCTCCTGCCACACAGGGCAGCCTCTCCCCAGGGTGGGCACTTGAAATAGCTTCTTCCTGTGCCTCAGAGGCCCCACGGAGTTCTGTGGGCTTTCAAGTTTAAAGAGCCTCTGTGTGTGGAGCGGAAGCACTAGTTGAAAGCCTGCGAGAAATTAGGGATGGAACTGGGTGCTCTGCTCTTCAACCAACTAGCTCCAACAGAAGTAGGAGTGACAGGACTGATGATGGAAGTGGCAGCCTGCCTGTCTGCTGCCCTGACCCAGAGCCAGGCCCTGATGCAGAGCCTTGACCTGCACTGGCTCGTTCAGTCCTACCCAGAGCCCTGGGACTGAGGGTGTTTTTGCATCCCTGTGTCACAGATGGGGAACTTGAGGCTCAAAGAGGTTAAGGATCACCCCGAGTCACGCAGCTGGAAAGCGGTGGGGCTGGATTCAAGCCTGGATCTGGGTGACAGGGCAGCTCAGGTCTCTCCACCGCCCCACACAGCTGCAGGGCCCAGAAAGGATTCCAACATCACATAAGCTGGGGGAGCGGAGCCCAGTCTGTCTGTTGGCGAAGGAGTCCTTGTGGGGGAAGCACTTCTCCCCCAGAGACCTGCATGGCTCCTTCCCCAGCCTTCTTCTCCTTCTTGCTCAGTTGTTCACTTTTCCCAGAGGTCTTCCCTGAATGCTTCATTTAAAAGTTAAATTCTTGGGGTGCCTGGGTATGTCAGTCGGTTAAGTGTCTGCCTTCAGCTCAGGTCATGATCCCAGGGTCCTGGGATCGAGCCCCATTATTGGGCTTCCTGCTTGGTGGGGAGCCTGCTTTTCCGGAAAACTCTTCCTCTGCTGCTCCCCCTGCTTGTGCTCTCTCTCTCACTCTCTCTCTCTCTGTCAAACAAGTAAATAAAATCTTAAAAAAAAAAAAGTTAAACCCTTGCCCACCTCGTGCTGATTTGCTCCATTTCACTGATGGATATCTGTATTCATTTCCAAGGGTTGCTGTAACAAAGTACCACTAACTATGTGACTTCAAGCAACAGAAATGTATTCTCTTACATTCTGGAAGCTGGAAGTCCAAGGTCAAGGTTTGGCAAGGCCATGCTCTCTAGAGGGCTCTGGGGCTCTCCCCTGCCTTTCTCTTAGCTTCTGGTGTTGCCAGCAATCCTTGGAGTTCCTTGGCTTCAGCCGCATAACTCCAGTCCCTACTTCATAGGGCATTTTCCCCTTTCTCTTCACATCATCTTCCTATTAGGACACTAGTCATGTTGGATTACAAGTCTACCCTACTCCAGTATGACCTCATCTTCACTAATTACATCTATAGTGACCTTGTTTTCAAATAATGTCACATTCTAAGGTATTGGGAGTTCAGCATATCTCTGGAGGATACCATTCAACCCTTCACAACATCTGACCTACTGCCCATTTTGTCTAGTTGTTTTATCTTCTGTCTCCTCCCACTGGAACCTAAGATCTGGGAGGCAGGAGTTTCCGTCTGCTATGCTCACTGTGTCATTCCCCATCACCCAGAATCAAATTAATTTGAATGTGTGTAAATAAAATGCCAAGTCTGGACAGACAAAGCCAACAGAGAACACAAGGATGGAATACTCAGGAATAAAGTAACTTCTGGAAAGCTCAGAGAAAAGGCAAATCTCTGGTTTACTGTGGGATAGGATAGAAAAGGGGGTACAGAGGACGAGGAAGAAAATTAAATACCAAAGAGCAGAATTAAAATCTGCATTGGCAGTATTAGAGAGCAGAGTTAATGCCAAGAAAAATAAAAATCAATAGTGTGAGGGACAAACTTGAGATATTTCCCAGAATTCAGAGGAAATGGTGAAAGTGGTCCATCTAATGAGGGAAGAGGTAACAGGGACACTGGGGAAGGGAGATCCTAAGGGAAAACGAGGATGGATGAAACGGAACCAAAATCAAAACAAAATAGACATCATAGTAGCAACAAGCATACCAGATCTTGGTTCCTAATACCCATTCTCCGTAAAAAGGATCCAGGACTCCTTGGAGAGATGGCTGATTCTAGGACTGGGACAGGACATATGCAAGATGATCCTGGAGCATCTTTTAGTGCCAGAAAAGTAAGGGAGTATTCAGGGGCACCTGGGTGGCTCAGTTGGTTAAGCGACTGCCTTCGGCTCAGGTCATGATCCTGAATAAAATAGTATTGGATTATAACCCAATGTATAAAAATAAATATCCGTGTGTCTGTGCTGCTATGAATAAATAAATGGAAAAGAACAGACAAATCTCTTATACAGAAGAATTCCAAATAATTTATGTAGATATTTCATGCTCATGGAGGTGGAGCAGGACAAACCACTTCTTAAGTGACTTCCTTCCAGAGTGAGGAAAGGGGAGAGAAGAGTAACTTGATGGTGGAGAAATCAGACAAACACGACCTCAGCCAGGTGACAAGGTTAACATCAACAGTGATAAGTCACATTGATAGGAGGCACCCTTGATATGAGGGGGTGAGAAGGCCAGTTTACCTCTGTGGCCTTCCTTCCCAAAACCCATGCCCTAAGCCTAAGCATGAGGAAAACGTCAGACAAATTCCAGGTGAAGGCCATTTTCCAGATACTCCTCAAAACTGTCTAGGTCTTCAAAAATAAGGAACGTCTGAGTCGAAAGGAGCCTATGTAGACATGACAACTAAATATAATGTGGTACTCTGGATGTAATCCAGGAATAGAGTAAGGACAGTAGAAAAAAAAAAAAAAACTAAGGAAATCTGAATTAAGTATGGACATTAGCTAATAATAATATTGATTCATTAATTGTATCAAATGTACCACACTAACATAAAATATTAATAATAGGGGAAGCTGGGTGAGGAACATAGGGCAACTTTCTTTGTCACTTTTCTGTAAATCTAAAACTTATCTCAAGAAGTTTATTTTGGGGCGCCTGGGTGGCTCAGTTGGTTAAGCGACTGCCTTCGGCTCAGGTCATGATCCTGGAGTCCCGGGATCGAGTCCCGCATCAGGCTCTCTGCTCGGCGGGGAGCCTGCTTCTCCCTCTGACCCTCCCCCCTCTCATGTGCTCTCTGTCTCTCTCATTCTCTCTGTCTCAAATAAATAAATAAAATCTTAAAAAAAAAAAAAGTTTATTTTGAAAAAGGAGACACACTTAAGTGGGCTCAAGAGAGTCCTGCTAGATTGGACTGACAGAATTGCTAATAGTCAACCATTTGGAACTACAAGATCAACAATTTCATAAAGGAAATGTGCGCATTGTTATATGCACCGTCTAGCTGGCCTTTCCACTTTCTAGCAGAATTGGTGAAAAGAGAGTCATACCAAGACACATTTTGGCAAAATCTTTGAAGTACAAACATAAAGGGGAAAAAAATCTATAAGTATCTAGGCCAGAAAAAAGCAAATTTCCCACAAAGATGCAAAAACCAGGCCACTTCGACTCCTCTGCAGCTTTCAAGCCCAGAGACAATGGAGCAGCTGGGAGACATCCTCCCATGCATACGGCTCAAGTCCTAGCCAGGTGCCCTTCTT